CTTAAACGTTAACCTGGTTCCCAGCGAGCTTGCAAATTCGGTCTGATGGCATGATTGCTGATTTTCATGGCAGGATGAGCCAAAGCCTCCAGGGTATATGTCAGGGGTGTCTGGGATGTATATAATATTTTTCCTTTTATTCACTGCTTTTTCCTTCTTTTACTGTAAACCACATAAATGTGCAGCTGTGCTGAACAGCCAGTCTTGGTAAGACATCCTGAAGTACCCATTAGAAGCCTAAATGATCTCATTACATCCTGTCCAGCATGGCTGTCACAAAAAATTGTTCCCAGCTGAAGGCTGCTTGATGCTACATTGTGCAAAAGGGGTTAGCGCCATCAGAGTAGATCCCCACAGACAAGCGTCCACATCACAGAAACCCCCCATCGCTACCACAACTGCCACTAATTGACACCTTCAGAAGCAATCTCAAGGAGGCCAATGAACTTTTGAAATTTAACTCTTTCCTCATGCTTAAAACAGGCCCCCTCCTGAGCCATACTGATGGGGTGGTCTGGACGATGCCAGCGCTGCCCCTGCCCATGTGCAACCTATTCTGTGAGAGGCACAACTTCAGGGCTGTCAGTCTTGTGAGTGTTAAAATCAACCGTAGCCTTAGTCCAACCCCTCCTGAGGTCAGTAAGAAAGGACTTGCATGGACAGTGGCTTTAACCCTAGAGATCAATCAATCCATTACAAAAAAATTAAGGACAGATTCAATATCCTATGGACCAAACCCCAAACTGAAACATATAGATGAACCAAATCGAATCACAGTATATCGTAATTCAATCAGGGAAATATGTTATTGAACTCAATGTATCAGCTCATACTTGGTGAAAAAATAGGCCAGCTATCATTGAATTTCGACATGGCTAATTAAACACATGGCAGTTTCTTTCCTTCCCTTGTGAAGACTTTGTGCTTAAAAGGGTCTTGATGGGGAAAAAATTATGCTCTCCATTAAAGGGTCTGGCTGGGCATCTGTCACTGAATTAACAACATCGATTTGAAGCTGTACACAGCCTGATAAGTTAGATAACCAGTGAAGGGAACAGCGAGGTTATACTAGGAGGTCTGATTGAAGGGAGAAATTAGTCATTGCAGGCTATATGATCAGCTAGCAGGAAAGCGGATACTTTTTCCTGGGGGTTAATATATTATGTATTGAATTCCTGGTGGGAAGGGCAAGACCTGTGTGATCAGCCCTGGGCAGCGTAAGTGGGCAGCTGCATTTTAAGAATGTAAAGGAAAACGAGGCCATTAGCCAAAGGAAATCATCATGTCGATAAGTTCAGGAGACTACTGATTTGAACAAGACCCTGAAAAATCAGACTGTGATGTTGCTATCATCCCCTTCCTCCACAGATTCTAGACAGGAGGCCATAGCAAATAGACAAGAGAGAAAAAAGTGCAGAGTGAGGTGTTTTCAAATGAATTACAGTGAGAGGTATGAGGCCTTGAGCCCCGAGGGAACAGATTGCAGGGGACAGTCCTGCACTGTTCGAAGCAGGCAAGCTGGGTGATGAAGAACATCTCCATCCTAGCTGTGCTGCTCCTATAGCTGTACAGAAGAGTTGCCGCCAGACTCTCAGGCGAGGGTGTGAGGCTCCATTTGCACCATGGAAGGGGTCTGTAGTTTAGCTGCAATAAGCAACCTGGAGAAACATCATAAAGATGGAGATTTTAAGAGCATGGGCTGGTAGGCACTTCCATGTCCCCCAAAACTGTACTGTGTGCAGGCCTTGCAGACATTCACAAACAGCTTCCATGCTGTCTGGGGAAAGACAGTGCTACTGGCCCCTTCTTATAGACAGGCAACTTGAAACTCAGAGAGAGAGGTCTTCAAAGATCTCCTGTTCCTGGTCTGCTTCTGCTGACTGTCAGAGGTGGTTAGGCACCTAATTGCTATTTGTGTCTTTGGAAGCCACCTTCTTAGGAGAATTCACACAAAAAGTCTGTGGCAGAGATTACACTTAAATTCAGCTCTGCTAAACCCTGGCAGACTCTTTTAATCCCAAATCTACCTTTCTTCTGCGTACGAGGTTGTGAATATCTCTGCGCCCCCACATCTTTTGTAGATCATTGTAATGGTGAGAAACGTGGCTAGTTTCTCTCCAGATATTCTGAGCAACAGTTTAATTTTTCCACAGGGAAATAAGACTCTCCCCTTGACCAAAGCATGGTAAAATCTAGACTACTATTTCTTTTGCCTGCCTCAGTTGCCCCACGTGGAGAGCTGCAGTGTAGCTAAACAGCCTGTGCTGTGCTGCAAGTGGGACAGTCTACTCTCCTGCAGCTATTCCAGGCATCTGGAGTTTTATCTGGACAGGGTGATTGTAAGCCAGAAGGTCACCAGGGATAGGTGTTGTGTTCTCTGTCCTCCCCCTTCTTCCCTACGCCCAGCACACTGAGGGAAAAATAAATCTCTTGCTTGAAAACTTTCCCAACACGCACATCTGGCCTATTTTGCATTCCAGGGCTGCTGCTGTGCTGCGAAGCAAGAACACTTGGGTGTGCTCTGTAGATAGCTTTGTCCTTCAGACTTCTTCTTCTGAGAACACACCTATTTGATTTAATGTAGTCACCGCTCTCTGGTCCATCTATATTTACAGGGGCTTATCTCCCAAACTGCTTCTTCCTTAGAAAAGGAGAGGAACTTAGCTGAAGCTGCTTCTGTTAGACAGGGCAGAGTCTGGTGATTCTGGTGGGAAGCTGAGATGTGATGGTTACGGGGTGGGCGATGTGGGTGACTGCCAGTGACAGGGCACTGTGGTTGAGGAGGGGTGCCACACACATGCATGCACACACATGTGAGCAGACACACTCACTCCCTACCCAGCCCCAGGCAGGAGGAGCAGTGCCACCCCAGCCTGCCCCCCGGACCCTCCCCACCTCCAGCAGATAATCATGAAGGAGCTGGACTGGGCAGTGCCCACCTGCCTGGCCCACAATGCTACTCTGCCTCCGCGCCGGACTGCGCCCTGCACCCCTGCCCATCACCCTGTGCCTGCAGCAGTGCCGCTGACTTGCAGTTGAGGGTGCCAAGATACAAGTTCGCCCAGGGTGGCATTTTCCCTGAGGCTGGCTCTGGTTATGGGGCTTGGCCGCCTTGCAGTTTGTCAGTCATAACTCATAAGACAATGAGAGAAGCTCAAGTAATGCAAACTCCTTGTGACTGCTGCCTTTCCTCAAACAGGACAGAGTGTTACTCATCAGCTGGCCAAGTAGCTTAAAAGTCAGGACTCTTGGGTTCAGGGCTTGGCCCATCCACTGACTCATTCTGTGAGTTGGGGCAAGTCACTTGATCTTTATATAAAAGCAGTTCTTTATAATAATGCACACCAGATGCTGTGGGACTGCCAGGGTGTTTGCAGCTGTCCCATAGTTCATTCTGCTTGTAAATTCTACCCTTATCCTCCGTCACGTCTAGTTGCTTGTAAGCTCTTTGATCAGGGACTCTTGTCTCATTCGGTGTGGCTTAGTGGCCAGAGCTAAGTGGGAGTCAGGAGATTGGCATTCTGTCCTAACCTAGTTACTGACCTGCTGGGTGACCCTAACCAAGTCTCTTCCCTTTCTGTGCCTCAGTTTCCCCGATTAAATTAGGACCATGATAGTGACTTCCTTTGTGACATGCTTTGAGAGCTATTGGTGGGTAAGAACTAGGTATTTATTCTGTGTTTATTCAGTGTCTAGCCCAGCAGAACTTGTTCGTGTTTAGTGCCCAGGCACTGCCATGATAAATATAATATATTGTGAGCTGTGGTTATTGTCCAAGCCCTAAGGGAATGACATATGAAAGCTCATAAGAATGTATGTGATTTCAGTGGAGCGATGCTAATTTACTTGAGCCGGGAATCTGGCCCGCGGTGGTATTACCTTGGCTCCTTGAAGTTTTGTCAGTGTGAAAGCATGCCAGTCTGAGGAAAAACCCCAGCCACGCAAGCGTGAGGGGCTCAAATGTGTGCCAAATGCTCAATCTTTCCGGATAAAAAGAAACGAATCCTGGTTTTTCTTTTGGTGGCTTTGTGGGTTGGCATGTTTATATCTTGTTTAATCTTTTTTTTTTTTAAGAGTTAGGAATGCCAAAGAGTGAATGTAGCTGTCTTCATAAAAAGCCTTTTCCTACCTTGATGTTAGGCTTTTTGCACAGCAGAATAAGCTCTGCCTGCTCCAGACTTGATTAACCAGACAAACTGCCTTCACTCCTGACAGCCTGGGTTTTTTAAGCAATCAACCCATCGGTTAAAGCAGAGAAATCTTAAAGGGAAAAGGGTCAAATACAAGCTCCCTGCAGAAACTCGCACCCAGTCCCGCTCCACGTTCCTCTCCTGCCTGGGGTGTGGATAAGCCTTGGCTGCATCTGAAAGAAAACTCTTTGATTCGCTTTGTCTGCAGTCCCACAAGGAGCAGGCAGCCTACATTATTACTATCTCATGTTGCCTGCCCTGATCGAGGGTCACAGCAGCCTCCGCCCTCCACGGAGGCTTCAAGCACTAAGAGCTAGGCAGGGGCTCATACACATTAGTGGGCAGGAAGTGGAGTCCCTATGGGAGACAGGGGAATTTGAACGCCTTCCCATTTCAGCACTCCAAGAGGAGGAAGCTCAGTTCAGCACTACTCGCAGATGGCTACTGCTCACTTCTGAAGGCGGTTTTACCCCCTCCCTCCCCTGCTTGGGGACTTGGAGGGAAAAATCTGCAAAGCCAGGAGCAGTAGGAGAAAAATGAACAAAGGGGAAGCACTCTGAAAGGACCTGTTTTGTTTCTTATAAGAGGAGTTTAAAAAAAAAAAAAAGGCTTGAGGGAAATCCACACCCACAGCCCTGTGCGCTTGGCTAGATTTCTTATTCATGCCTGAGTCTACTAGCAAGAGGTAGCAGAGGAACAAACGCAGGATCTGCTTGCTTGCTAAGGAAGCAAGCCTGGCTGCAGGATTTAACAGAGAGTCAAACCCACTGCCATGAACTCGGCATTTTAACCCAGCTCTGTTTCCTTCAGATCTTCCAATGGAGGCAGCTGGAGAACCTGTACTTCAGAGAGAAGAAGTTTTCCGTGGAAGTTCATGACCCACGCAGGTAAGCCGGCCACATGCCGATGGATAATGCAGCCTGCCTGATCTGGGCTGCCTCGCACAGCGAGTGTAATTCAGATGAATGCCTGCTCCTGGGGGTGAGGAGAGGCAGGGTGGAGTGAGATTCCTCTTGCTGATGATTGTAATGGGCAGCAAATATTTTAGTAGGATCTTGAATGAATTTAAGGATATCTGAGCCTTGACTAGACTGCTGTGTATGTTGCTTTTTGTGCCACTAAGTATGGCAGTGTGTGCAATTTCTATGACTGTTTTCAGCATGTGCTTCATATTTAGGTCAGCATTATTCTCCCTCCCTCCCCTCTCCCCCTACCCATTTTCTATGACTTATTTTTTTCCTCTTCCCTTTGTAACCCACCACCCAGCTAACACTCTCTGGAAAATTGCTTTCAAACATTGCAGAATCCTTTTGTGCCTTTAGGCATAGAGAAAGATAGTCAACTGTTAGTCTGAAGTCAAGCAGAAGGCAGGGCAAAGTTGTACCTTATATAGACTAACACTGTAACAGAGAGCAGTCACAAACTTCTGCATTTCTGAACCGGTAAGTCTCTAAGGTTGCACCCTGCCCTGTTTTCTGCCTTTTATGCCCTTTGGGCAACCTTATTGGCAGCATCCATGCTAACAGGAGACTCTTTATAGTCCTAGAGATCCTTAGGGTACTTGCACTTTAGAGACTGTTGGCCCAGATTCTGAGCCCAGGTCCACCAGGGTAAATCTGGAGTAATTTCAGTGAAGGTAATGGTGTTACTGCAGTTATGCCAGCATAAGTGAGAGCTGGATGTAACCGCACTATTCCTTGACAAGATACCAGTAGGGGTTTCTTTGTTTCTTACTTTAGAAAGGTGATTTGGGAGACAGTAAGTTAAAATGACTGTAACACTCTCTGTCACTTTGGACTAAATTTTGTCATCTATTACTCATGTTGAGCCTGATCCAAAGTTCTTTGAGATCAGTGGAAAGGCACTAATTGTGTTATACATTGCTGCACAAGTATCTCCCATTAAATTCAGCGCGTTACTGGTCCAGGCAGGTTGCACCCAGCCTGAGCAACATTGGTAGTAGCAAACAAGCCTTCTTTTTTCCCTGCACGGATTTATCTGCCACAGTGTGTTCTCGCTGATGATTACCCTGCAGTCCTGTTTCATGTTGCAACAAAGATCACTGCATTGTGCTGCACCCACCTATGTACTAATGTGCGTGCATTTGCTAGTGCTCGTCTGCATACAGCTTTTGTACCCATTTCCTACACCAGATAGTCAGGCTAATATAAAGCAACTTAAATTGGTATACATTTCTTTCTCTAAATGTAGTTAAAGCTGTACCAAATCTATGTATGTGCCAGCCCCTGCTGTGCCACAGCTCCAACTGCCCACTCCAGTTCAGCAAAGTCACTAAACACAGGCTTTATTTTAAGCACATGAGCAAGGGCAGTATGTGCTGCTCCTCCCCTGCTCCCTCTTAGTCAGCAATCAGTGCTTTAGCAGCACCCGCAGCAAAGAGGAACGAACACATTAGGCATGAAGGTGGAACATGTCATTTAAGTGGAGCTGAAAGAACTACCTAAGAAGACAGGCAAGGAGCTAAGAGACGTTAAGGCATTATTAAATGTGTATGTAGAAAATTACGGCCACCCTTTATATCTGTGCCAAGCAGAAGCGCTCTTATCTGAAACCACTTGTAATCAGAATTTAGGCGGCATGAATTACTGATGTGAGAGGACTCCGTGTTCTCAACCCTGCCACCCCATTTGTCTGAATAAATGCCAAGTTCCCTGCAGACAAAGCGTTTGACTCTAGGAATGATTCTTATTTTCCTTCCTTGCTGCACAGATTAGAGCTTTGTTGACTATAATAACCAGCCAGTCAGCATTTGGTTCTAGCACCCTGAATCAAGCAGCCACTCCTAGTGTAAAACAATAACCCGCATTGCAATGTCAAGTGGGAGACCTGGATGTGGGAACATACTTCAGATTCTAGTCTCCTGGCCAAGGGGGTTGGACTGAAGTCTGTGGGGCGGGGAAGGAAGCCAGCTGTGCGCTCTCAGCATTCCTTCGGAGGAAACGCACACCGGAGTCTGAGTCAGCTCACCCGCGCGCAGGCAGTGGGCTAAGGCAGAGAGCACGTGGCTTAGTGGTTAAAGTATGGAGGGGAGGGCAGGGGGTCAGCCAGCCTGGACTCTGGCCCTCCCTCGGCCCTGGGCTTTGTATCTTGAGCAGGTCTTTTACTTCTTTGTGTGATAATACCTTCTGGATCGGACTTTGAAGTGAGTGCTCATAGTGGGTTCCAACACTGGAGGAAAGTTCCCAAGAATTCAAAGCAAGTTCTGACATTTGCATTGCACAGAACTGCTCTCCTGCTTTAGCGCACGATGATGTGCCTCGTTGAATGGGACCTGATTCACCAGGCTGGTCTGGCTGTTTGGAGCTGGCCTAACTCGCAGCGTCTGGGCCAAAGCACTTTGGTGTAAAGCTGCTAACACTAGAGAAGCTTTACAGTCTAGAGACTGTTGCTCCTAAGGAGGCCCAGTGGACCAGTGGATAAGGCATCAACCTCTAGAGCTGGGGACCGTGGGTTCAAGTCACACCTGGGTCAATCAGCTGCTTTATCAGGGGCTGGACCTGATGATCTCATGCAGTCCCTTCTAGTCCTAAGCTTCTGTGTGATCAGAGGCCTGAGGAGCAAGCCATATGAAGAAAGGCTGGCAGATATGGGACTGTTCATCCTGGAGAGGAGAAGAGTTTGGCAGGATTTGGTGGCAGCTTATAAATATATCAGGGGCTTGGCCAGCATCAATTATTCACCAAAGTGCCCCAGGAGCAATGGTCACTCCAGGAGTGACCTCAGCAATGCTGAGTAGAGCAGGAGAATAGCCCCCCTTAGTTTGGGGGCTGGACTTGATGATCTGTTGAGGTCCCTAGCATCTATGAGTTATGGACAGGTTTTGTGGGGGTGGATGGCACTGTTGGGAACTCATAGCCATCCCAATTTCGTAGCAAAGCAGGGATGAGCAATATTCTTTCCATGGAGATGGGGATAATCTGATGGAGAAACTGGGTGCCCCTACATAGACTGTAGGGCTGGAAGGGACCTTGGAAGAGCATCAGGTCCAGCCCCCTGCACCAAGCAAGAAAGATAACTGGGGGTCAGATGACCCCAGCAACGTGACCATCCAGTCTCCTCTTGAAGATTTCCAGGGTAGGTGATTGCACCACCTACCTGGGCATGGAAGGAGGCTTCAGTTCTGTGCCTCCCAGTATGGACAGGCTGGGGGCAGCTGATTATAGGATAAGACTGAACCGTGACGCTGACTGTCTTGGCCTTTCATCTGGCTCTGGCATCACGTTTTCTCTCTTGCTCATTTGGATTCTACTTCCCCACTCACTACCTTCCAGTAACTATTAACAGTGGCCAAGGCCCTATTGATCCATGCTTTAATCTGGAAAACTTTTAATCCTGTTTTGTTCAGGACTCCCAGTTTGGTTCTGTAACAAAAATGTAAAGTAGAAAAGGTCACAGACATAACAGTTGCTTGGCGGCTTTCATGAGCCAAGGCTGGGTTGGCAGCTTCAGGTCTAGATCAGCAGGGTAACTCTTTCTTTCTTTGTCTCTGTAACTGCTCTTGGCTTATTTCTAACTTTCCACAGCGATTTGCCTTTTTTCACACCAATTTCTTCAGCTTCCAACTACCCCCAAAGGGAAGAGATCAGGGGACTTTTGTATACCCACAGGTACAGGCTTGAAAGGTGAGCAGAGAAAAAACCAGTTCAAGCTGTAGGTAGAGGATACTGGAAAGGTGGGAGTTCAAACAGACCAGTGGATGAACCGGTTCTTCAGAATGGAAGCTGGTCGCCTCTGGGCACTGGGGAAGGCAGCTCTTGCTCACCCTTGGGTATGGTGCTGCTGTACTCCCTAGCAATCCCTATCAAGGGGATGCTTTATGATCCCCGTGTGAAAGGCCGGGTCAGTTTGTATCGTATTTCTGCATGATCTGTGTTCTCACACTCCCAGGCAGTATCTAGCTGGGAAAATCTTTATGCGACAAGATGAGCTGTTTTTTAGTCTTTCTCTACAAAATAAGGTATGGTGCTGGTCTTTCCAGAGCAGTGACTTGATGCAATCTGATCCAGCTTTATATCCAGGCAAAGGGACAGTGGAGATGGGCTTGTAACAATGCTGGAAGATCCTTTCCAATACTTATACGGCAACGATATGTAGGGGCCACTGGTTCTCAAGGAGGTAGTGGCAGACTTAGATTCAAAGGAGAAATAGTCAGACAACGGGTCTGTACAGCAGTGAAAGTGCAGACAGTACTAATAGCTGAGGACACTGCCATCCCAAAGCAGTAAAAAAGGCTTGTTTTTCCTGTTTGTTATATTCACATTGATAATAGTATTTAGCATCCCTACAGCCCTTTGCAGCTCCGGAGCATGAGGTAGCCATTTGCTGACAACTCTGAGATAGGTAGAGAAATGTTGCCGTATGCATTTGACAGATGGGGGGAAACTGAGGCACAGAAAGAATGAGGCCTATGTTTCCTAAAGCCGTCATTGATTTGGGTTGCCCAACTCGTGTCACCTGGGCCCTGATATTCGGCCACTGGGAGTTGTGGGAATTCAGTACTTTTGAAAACTTAGGATCACAGGAAAGTAAGGCTGAAAGGGACCTCACAAGGTCATCTAGTCACTTAGATGGAGGTGTTTCATGTTGGGCACCTAAAAGGTGAGGCGTGCAATATTCATGTATGGTTTAAAAAGCATTGTCCTAAGTGACTTCTCAGGGACCCACAAGGTAGCGGTATCCAAGCGGGTCCAGGAGTCCTGACTCCGTTCAAAACCGTGTCCAGCAGAGCCCGCTGCTCCTGTGGGACGGCTCTGGTCAGGTTCCCAGGTTTCAAGTGTATGGGTTATTTAAAACAAAGGTTCAATTTAGCCACTGAGCAATAAAGGGAGCAGCTTTATCTGCTTGGTTCTTGGTTTTATTCTGCCATGGACAGTGCTGTTTATACAGAGAGAAGTTAAAACAACCAGTCAGAAGAAACTGCAGCATAACCATGGCCTCTGCTTTCCTCTTCTCTAGGGCATCTGTGACCAGGAGGACGTTTGGGCACAGTGGCATTGCTGTGCATACATGGTACGCCTGCCCCGCACTCATCAAGTCCATTTGGGCTATGGCCATTAGCCAGCATCAGTTCTACCTGGACAGGAAGCAGAGTAAGGTAAGAATCGCGTTAGAAGGAGAGTGTGTCCTCCATGGCTCCCACTCCCGCGTCACTCCCTTGTCCAAAGGGTGGCGCTGGGACTGCCTTCGCTCTTTTGCTTCTAACAGCTTGCCTTAAGAGCTTAAGAGTCATCATACTGGATCAGACCAAATGTCCATCCAGTTCATATGCTGTCTCTGGCAGTGGCAATGGTGGTTGCTTTAGAAAAGAGTGTAAGACAAAGGGCATGTATAGGGTGACGCATCCCTGGTCTGGCCCTGCCAGTCACAAGCAGTTACAGACACAAGAGATGGCTTCAGCCTGCGGTTGCAATTTTGATGGACCTCCGTACATTTGTCTGACCCCTTTTTGCACCTGGTTATGTTTGTGGCCTCCACAGCATCCTGAGGAGTTCTACAAGTTATAAAGGTGTGTTGACTTTTGGGAGTTCAGGGAGCTTTGGTTTCCTCAAATGCCTATCGGGTGAGGACTGGGGGCTGGGAAAAATCTGGCTAAGTTATGACCAAGATACAATGGCTAAAGTTTGCAAGTGAACACAATCTGTTCCAGCACGTGTCCTAGCTCAGGTCATCGTAAAGTCAGGATATTTTCCTACAAATGTGTTTGCAGTAGTTTTAAATTCTGCACCCAGCTCTGAGCTGACAGACACTTCCCTGCCAACTTGATGAGTTTTACAAGCCCGTTTTCCTGTGGGACCTGTTAGGGGTTAATTGTTTTCCAATCCTCTCTCACTGTTTGAAAGACTTGCACAGACATCGGGAAGCTAAGCGCCCTTACAGAGAGCCGGCTGTGTCTGCCTGTACTCAAAGGAGGCCACCTCAAAAATAGCATCAGTGCTAGGTATACTCCACACAGTCGCTGGGAGAGAATTTTCATAGAAAAGAGCAATTATTTTTAGGTAACAGCACCCGTTTAAATATGAGCATCGCTGGCATAATGAAATGTGAGCGATGCAAATCTTGGCTAGTGGGGGGTTCTTCCTCCTTCCCATCTCGTCCTCCATGCGCTGAACTCCCTGCTTCCAGTGAGATTCCAGGTATCCTCTATCTTCTTATCTGCCATCTGTTTCCCCCACTTCCAGCATTGGCTGCAGCCAGGACACTCTGAGCACTTTCCATCTCCCTAGGACCAGCTACAAATAAGGCCAGACCTGTTTGCAATCTGGGGCACTAGCGCCTGCAGGGTTTCAAGGTGTTTAGTCCACAAACTGACAACCAAACAGAAGGATATTCCCCTTTTCTGGGTGAGAGGGTGCCAGGAACTTCCCAGCTTTTGTTGACAGCAGATTGGGTTTCACGCAATGACTGTGTATCTGATGTCCTCTTCACACCTCCCCCTAGCCATCATGAGTAACTCAGGCTTGTTTGCATCCACATCAAGATGCTTTGTTAGGGTATCCCCAGGCTTCCTGCTAACACTTTGAAGTGGGTGCACACAAATATGTTTTAATTTTTTTTTTTTCACTTTGAAGAGTGGGGCTTTCATCTGTCATCTCTGTCTTTAATGGCCAAGCTTCATCAAGTTCTTCTGTCCTAGCTTAAATTTCAGGGATCTGCTGTATTAATCCGGCTGATCACATCAGTGTTATGCCAACACGGGCTTGTTTTTTAAAGCCAGCAATGAGCGTTCCCAGGTGGGGTTGTGAGAAACTTGGTGGATTCAGTTCTCAGGCGTTTGTGCAAACGCCTTTCCCCTTTCAAGTGGCATGGGTTTGTACCCCTTTACATTTCACTCTGAGATTCACCTTCCCATCTGTCTGCGCCCTTTAACATCCAAGCAAAATTTAGGGACTCCCAGATTTTGTGGCTGGGTTTGCCAAGAAAAAAAACAAAAAAACCCTGAATTGCTCCAATCTGGGCCCATCCTGGTTGCAGTGATTTTGATTAGATGCAGTGGGATATGGCACAACACTAGGCTTGAATTCTCCTTTCAGAACAAAACCTGAGACCAACCAAGACCTTCTTCTTTTCCAATTTGGCTGGGATATTTTGCCTGGCTCTGCCTTTACATTTTGCTTGATTTAGTAAAAGCCCAATCTTTATTGATTTAGACCATTTTTGCACCAAAATTAAACCAGGGCTTTTCTTCCACATTCTATGCATGGCGGACATCATGGCATGATGAGACCCCAAAATCTTGCAACCCTGTTTTTTGTTTCTCTCTGGTCCTGCATTAAAGTAGATGGACAGTTCCAAGACTTCCAGCTCTCTGAACGATCTCTTCAGAGTGTAAAATCCATGTCCATTTCCCTTCTCTTTTTCTGTACCAAGCAGATAAATGCAGCAAGGCTGAGCGCCAGCTCCATGCGGTGGTGCCCACATCGAGTAGTGCCCACATCGAGTGGTGCCCACATCGAGTCAGTCAGATGTTTTCCCTTGAGAGCTTGCTGGTAGCAGGAATTTCCCATAACATACAGGACTCGAAGGCTGGGCTCCTCAGCTGTTGGGAGCTTAAATGCGTGAGATTGCCAGAAAATGGGTAGGCAAACTGGGGATGTCCCCAGTGAAACACGTGCAGCACAAAACCCTTCATCCCAGACGAAAAGACCAAATTGATCCCTGATGTCGGTCTGTTCCTGGGGTCACTGAGGGCATTCTGTAAGACGTCTGACCTCATAGGAATGGCGCTAGGGATCCATTTGGCTCAGGGACTTTAAGAACTGCTTTGAAATTAATCCCAAATGAGTGAGTTTCCCTCCAAACAAATGAGACTTGGCAGATCTGTGCAATGATGGCTGTAAAATACTTCAGAAGGGTGGGGGGATTGAATGGCCTGGGGGAGTGTTAATGGGATATAATCTAGCCTCTCACTACTGTGCTGCCAGTACAAATCCAGCCCAGACCTTGTCACTCGCTGTGCAGTGGCCGACATGGAATGAGCAGTGGTGTGAATCCTGCTCCCAAAGGAGCACTGTCTGAAGCACAAAAAACCACGTACCAGTTGGCCTCACTGTCAGCAGCAGAGAGACCTAATAAACCATCTCTTTCTGGAAGTGCGTCCTCTAAGTCAGTGTGAAGACTAGGGCTATACATGGCAAACAGCACCTAATTGAGAATCATTGCCAATGGCAATGACAGTGATTCTCAGTTAGGTGCTGTTTTAAGGGTGCCATGCAGTATTTGCATTTTATTATAGTTGGTCTAATAAAAAGTATCATTTCTGAACTGAGAGTTCTAGATTTTTGCCTTTCTAGTATTTTTCTGTACTCAAGAAATGAGTGAATGCCAAGAGCTGGCATTTTCCGAGAGATGCCTTGAATTGAACTAGGTTGAGAACCACTCCCATCCACACACGTGTATTTCTAGCTTGAGTTAAACTTGGAAACGCTGGTCTGGTGCAGGACGAGGGTTGAAACAGAGCTAACCTCTGAAATAGTAATGCAGTGGGGGCAGGGGAAGGAGTGCAGCCATTGTCTTCAGCTTGAGTTAGCACAAACTCATCACCTGTTAATCCAAGCACTCTGTGCAGCTGGAGTGGCTAAGCCAACTCAAGTGGGGCAACTTGAGTGGCCAAAACTTGAGCTCATGGTTGCAGTGAAAATCAGGTTCTGCGCAGGCAATCACAGGATCAGTTGCTTGGGCTGTTTTCTGCAGTGAAGCTTTCTACAGGCTGACCAAGTGAAGGTCTCTGTTCTTAGAAGGTACACAATGGGGCAACATCTTCCTACAAGTTATTCCAAAGCTACATGTAGAAACTATAGTTGAACCTTGATGCTCAGTCAGATCCAGGTTCACAGCCAAATGCAGCCAGTGAAAAGAATCGTGTGCCCTTTCAGTGCTCAGCCTCTTCAGTAAGGATGTCAAACTATGCTGGCCTTTTTTTTCATGGTTTCTTACTGTATCTCTTAATACGCAGATTCTTGGGATATAGGTCCTTTGTTTAAGGGGGAAGAGTCCCTGGCAATGCAGAGAAACTAACCAACAAGAAGGAGCAATGCCAACTTGGCCCCAGATTCTCAGTGTTAAAAATGTGGGTGTTTGAGGGCTTGCAGAAGACGCTGAGTTGGCTTTGGAGGTCCTGTTTTCTGCTGCAGTGAAAGGAGTCTTTGCTTCTGTGATCCTTTCAGAAATATTAGACTGTATAATAGTGCTCTGTGTCCATTTCCAGTCCAAGATCCATGCTGCAAGAAGCCTAAGCGAGATTGCGATTGACCTGACGGAAACTGGAACACTGAAAACCTCGAAACTAGCCAACATGGGGAGCAAAGGCAAAATTATCAGCGGCAGCAGTGGGAGCCTCTTGTCATCAGGTAAGTCCTTTCCAGGAACTGTCAGAGAGGGGAGGAAGGATGTAATGAGGACAGTGTGAAAAAGCTACCAGATGCTACAGTGATGGGCATCTCAGCAATGAAGCTGACAGCAACAAGATCCTTTCTATCAGCTCTTCTCTGTGTCAATGCATGTGATGATTTGTCTTTCATCTCCCCAGCATCCTTATTAAAAAAAAACCAATCTTACCAGCACCCCCAACCTCACGGTTCATTTCCTTTCTCTCCCTGGAGATATCCTCTCCAACCTTCTCAGCTCTCTGCTGTGGCCTGACCTGTCTCCTCTCCCTGCACCTCCAGCACCAGCTCCTACCCACCTCCCTGCTTCTGCCCAGCCTGCCCCCACCCTAAACAGCTGCTTCTGTCCATCTAACCCAGCCACTGGAAGCGGGGAGGAAATAAGCCTGTTTGTGGCTCATTGGGAAGCTCAGGCTGGAGGATTAAAGATGTCTTTTAGCACTGCAGAGACATAATCTGTAGGTAAATAGTACTGATGTGCCCTGCCTCTCTGTTACTGGTTGCTGGAAGTCAGGCTCTATTTTTATCTACAGCCCTGCCCATCTAGTCACTCAACCCCCAAATATGTGAGTTTCCAGGTACCTTTCACCTAGAAGCTTCCTGGTGTCCTGCACTTAGCCAGTTTTGGGGTTTTTTTGTGGAAAATGGTTAGATGCTCTGTGAAAAAGTTCAGCATCTTCCAGGCTGCAGGGGTGAGTGTCGCTCCTTTAGATGCTCCAGTAATCAAGAACTACAAAAGAAATGAAAGAGGGATTGCTGTCAAGGAGAGAGAGGAGGAGACTGGAAGTCAAGAGCTTGGGTTCTGCTCCTTGTCCCCCCACTTCTTGCCTGTGTGACCTGGAGTGTCTTTCGCCCTCCCTGTGCCTCAGCTTTGTCATCTGTAAAATGGTGATAAAGGTCTCTTGTAGGAGTGATGTGAGGATGTGTGGTTTGCCAAAGGTTTTGAGCTCCTCAAAGGAAAAAATCACCAGCAGCACAGTTTTATCTACCGTTCTTTTATGGAAGGCAGGGTACAGGTGCGCCTTATAGACAAACCAAATCACAGATACCTACATTTTCATGACCAACAGCTCCCTTCATTATTTTACAGTGGGAGTGTCTACACGTGCATTTACGCTGACTTAAATTTACTGAGCAGCAAATTACTACGCAGTAAACAGGAATAGGCCAGCATCTATACATGCAGGCGTTAAAGCACATTAACACTGTTTGTGGACTGACTTGGGACTAAAGTTAGTCCCAAGTCAGTCCACACACACAGTGTTATTGCGCAGTAAGGTGTCTACACATGCATTACTGTGCAATAACTAATTGATCGTAAATTTGATACCTGCATGATGCAGGTATCAAATTTATGCTCAAGTCAGCATAAGCCGCCATATTTACTGCGCAGTATGGATGTGCATGTGTAGATGTGTGCCCATACTGTGCAGTAGTTTCAGTTACTGCAGAGTAAATGTGCTCGTGTGGATGCGCCCAGTGTGTTGTTTCTGTGAAGCATGGGGGATGTTACTTAGATCCATCAAACCGACAATAATGGTAATGTTTGACATGGGAGAAAAATCTCATAATTAGGGGAAAGTGTACCCTTTAATAACACCCAGGCTGCACAATTGAATCCATATTCACTCTCAGAATCAGTGGAGCCCGTGTTTCTCAACCTGTGGGCTGCAACCCAAAAGTGGTTGCATGCTGGAGTGCTGCATCCAGTTCTGGGCACCACACTTCAACAAGGAGGTGGACAGGCTTGAGAGAGTCCAAAGAAGAGCCACATGTATGATCAGAGTCTTACACAACCAGCTATACGAGGAAAGGTTGAGGGATCTGGGACTCTTCAGCCTGAGGAAAAGAAGGCTGAGAGGGAACCTGGTAGCAGCTTACTGCTACGCTAGTGGAGTACATCAAGGGCTCAGTGAGCAACTGTTCACCAGAGCACCCGAGGGGAAAACTAGGAGTAATGGCCACAAACTCCTGGAAGATTGATTCAGGCTCAACATTAGGAAAAACTTCTTCGCAGTCAGGGTGTCCAGACTGTGGAATAAGCTCCCTCCAGAGATGGTGCAATCACCTACCCTGGAAATCTTCAAGAGGAGACTGAATGGTCATCTTGCTGGGGTCACCTAACCCCAGTTATCTTTCCTGCCTGGTGCAGGGGGCTGGATCCGATGATCTTCCAAGGTCCCTTCCAGCCTTACAGTCTATGTAGATGCACCCAGTTTCTCCATCAGATTATCCCCATCTCCATGGAAAGAATATTACTGGTCCCTTCTGTCCTTACAATCTATGAATCTATAAATATATAATGCAGTCGTGAGCAAACTTTAAAAGTGGATCAGCAAACTTTAAAAATCGATTCTCCTTTAAAGGAGGAAAAGGTGGGAAACCACAGGTTCTCCCGGGCAGGCTGGCAGAGGTCCAGCCTGGAAGGGGCTGCTTGGGGCCCCCTGCCCTACACCCCCTCCCCGCCCCACACACTGGAGGCCTGGGGGCAGTGGGTCAGGAATGAGTGGCATTAGGTCAGGACTGGCCATTGATGCTTATAAATGGGTCTTGGTGCAAAAAAGGTTGAGAACCACTGAGCTACGCAGTACTGGCCTACAAGCTCGGCATCTGTACCTCCTTTGTGCCTAGCTTCCAACTCCACATCCTTTTGCTTCGGGAGCGTTCAAGAAAGAGTTAAGTTGTGAAAGCTTGGGGAGCTGCAGAGCCACTTGTTCAGGAACTCCCACCCTAGCGGCGAACAGAGATGCCTTTCTGCTGCTTACGTCCCTCCGGACCCCACACACAATCCGCTGTTTGTGCCGCGTGTCACTCAAGCAGTGGCAGCGTCTGAGGCCTCGCTCCGTTGGTGTCAGGTTGTTGGGGCTCTTTGCTGGCTTTTTCTCCAGCTCTCCCACTCTTGAAAGTTAACAACATGAAGTAGCCCAGGAAATACTTCTCCCGAAATCCCAACCTGGTGGGCAGCAGTCTCGCGTTTGTGAACGCCGCGGGCTGGTAATCCTGTGTCTCTGGTACACGCCAGCTTCCCGCACCCTGAGGAACGTAAGGGGCCTGATTCTGAGTTCGAACCAGGGGGACCCCTTGAGCTCACCGGCGCTAGACCTTGCTTTTTGAGAAGAAATCCAGTGGAACATCTGCATTAAACATTTGCATTAAACGTTGCTTAATGCAAATTGGCTTGAAGCAGGAGTGCAGCAGGCCTGGAGGGTCAGCTTCCCTCCTCCCATCTCATTGCTAGGCACATCCATGGGACTCCTTCCGAGCTTTTGCATTTCCTCCTATTGTGCTGAAAAATATGCACGCTCATAACAACAGCGTGTTGTTGCCAAGCCGTGCAGCGTATGTGTCTTGAGAGAGTGGGAGGGAGCGAGGCCGCTGTAACTTTCCAGGCTGTAAATACAGGGAGTTACCCGAAATCCAGAGGGGAAAATTAAAAACCCTTCTGTTTATCACTGCCGCTCTCTCAATATTTTTCCGTCCTCCTTTTCTCCTCGGAGTTTCTTCTTGTCTTTCCTATTCCCATCTCTGCCCCTAGGATGGATAAACCCAAAGCTGTGGTGCAGAACGCACTCGAAAGTACCAAGTCTCATCTGGTTTTGTGGAGATACCACATGCAACTGGAAACAATTAGTAGTGGTCATTTTAGGAGGGTCTGGCAGGCCCAGTGCAGAGTGGAGACCGTATACATATGGTGAGAGATAACGAGCCCACAACCTCCATAGACAGCACAGACAAAGGAGGGGAGCAAGCCTGTAGTAAGTAGGGGCAGGAGCGGCAAGAGCTTCAGCCACCATTTGCTGGGACCACCAAAACCCACCATGGCCGGACAATACCCTCCTTTCCCAATTGGGTACAACTCCCCCCACAGGTGGCCCCACTTCAGAAAAACCTATTAAGACCCCTGCATAGGAGTCACAGACCGGGGAAGGGCTTTGACAGGTCATGCCACAAGTCAGGGAGGGAGCCCAGGTCTCCTCATGCTGTCTCCATCGCCTCATCCTCTAGACCACACTCTCTTCTCCTGTCCTTGTCTTTGGCACAAAGTGGTAAGCTGGATGTCTGACGTTCCCATTTGCATCTCTCATCCAAAGCTTAGCAAGCCTTTTGCCTAGAAAAGGGCCTCAGCCAGCATCCCTGACAGGTCACTGCCCAGAGCTGAATGCTGTGCCCCAAACCCGGCTTTCAAGGGTTCTGTGCTAGATCTGCTCACCCAAACTTTGGGATGGTGGCTGATCCGGGTTTTGATCCTCCCGTGTAGGACTGTTTGGATCTGGAGTTAGTTATCTGAGTCCTGGAGAGAGCAGGGAGGGCCAGCTCCCATCCCATATCATTCATCTCCATGAAGATGCAGCCACATAAATGAGATGGAACAAGGTCCCTGACGTTCAAATGCAGGGCTTTGATTCCTGCCTGTCTTGGCTCTAAGAGCCTTGCAGGGCAGCCCGGATCTCCCTGGCCATGAAGTGCCATCCTGGCCTTTGGACCTGACCCCAGAATCCCGTCTGCCCATAGAAGTCATTTCATCCTGCTGAGGAGAGATCCTAGGACCTGTCTGTAAGAGACAGAATTACGCTTTATCTTTGCACACATAAGTAACTTCCCACCCCGACCTTTCCCTTCACGTGCCCAGCCACGTTTGCCTCCCCTCTGCACGTGGTAGCTTTCCTGTAAATAGGCCTGTTTACATATGAAAATGCCTTAGGCTTACAGATGGAGGCGTCCGTCCCAGGCAGGCAGCCCCCGTCCCATCTCCTGAAAACATCCATCACGGCGATCTTCCCCTTACACCACGCTGGGAGTTTATTTAGCTGATAAACAGTGACTTGTCCAGTTTCTGTAAAGGCCAATGACCAAAGTGACTAATGCTGACCAGTCACCCTTGCAGGATATCTGTGCACATCCTGCACTGAACAGCTCCAGACGGATGATGGAAAGGGCTTGAGTGGCAATCTGGCCATGGCTGG